GGGTGATCCACATCAACAGGAAGCAAACAAAACGGAAGATTTGGAGGAGGAAATATGTGGCTGTACAACCCATTTGTATAACCACAAATAGGTTGTGGAGTGGATGTGTTTTTACTGCAGAGGGAGGGGCATGTGCCCTCTCTCACTCAATCCGCCCAGTGCTGCTTGGATGCTCTCAAGATACGCAAGGGACGGCCTATGCCCTCAGTAGCAAAACGCCCACTCTCACCAGCTGGCTGAGTCAGACCCAGAGGGCAGCCAGGGCACAGCACACGCAGACATTTGACTCAGGCTTGTTCTGTGTAGACTCCAGGCCTGAGGGTGTGCACTGCAGGGCTGTGCACTCCAGCTGTGATTTACAGGCTAGTTTTGACAAGGTTGCAACCTGTGCAGGACGCACGGGGGGGTTGCCGGCTTCATGATCATGTTACGGCCCAGACCTAAAGATAACACTTTTACAAGGGGCGCGGTGCTACTTATGAGTCCATTCTCAGGTTTGGCTCTCTGGATGCTAAACTGGCTCCTCAAAAATTTTATTTAACTAATTTTAAAACCAGAGAATATAAACGGGTAACTTCAGCTCTTTGGCAGCATATTTGAGGTTTAGATTTCAGATGAAACATTTCCAAAATGTCATCCATATCTGTCTACAATAGTAAGTGTTAAAGCTTAACAAAGTTGGCTGCACAGTTTGGTCTATGTATTTCTATATCATTGTTTTAATGCCTTCATACAAATTTACATTATTGTATACAGCTATCAATGATTACTTTAGAAACATTATGTCCACACAATACTCTGTATACAGTGCAATTCTGTCATTTAATGGCAAAATAAGTATTCAGATCCTTTACTAGTAGCAAAACAACAATGTAAAACATGTAATGTAATGTAAAAAAATGTAATACACTCACTTTTATTATATAAGTGTTATATTATCTGTATTAATGAATTATTATGATAATTAATTAATGCAAATGTCTAGCCATTTGAGGGAAGGGGAAACAAGCTGTAAACACTGACATATGAACACTCAAGGATGTGCCTCAAAATTGTACTCAAGTACACATCTTGCACTTTCTTTGTGATCTGCTGTTTTCAGTAAAACAGATATTCATGATTGTGATTGAATATGAAAAGGAATGGGGATAGGTGTGCAGATGCTTTGATTTTCTTTTCATTTCAGTCATAGTTCTGCCAGGAACTAGTCACTTTTTCATGTCTGTTGGTGGGCCATGTGTTCTGGACTCCACTGGAGACATTCAGACCAGGCCTTGATTGTTGTCAGCCTCTGACAGAGGCAGTAGTAATAAATGAGAGGTCAAAGGGCTGTTTCATGCTATGTGACACACCGGCTAAAGTGGTGACAGCACAGGAGCCTGGGTGTATTACATGTGAGGACTCTGCAGAGTTGTGTGGAGGCATGCAGGAGGTGAGTGACAGTGTTACGATGCGATTGGTCTTACCACTTCCTATTGTTCCCCTGTCACAGATAACCCCGGTGACCTGGGCCAAAGGAAGGAAGGCCATCGCTCGGTTTGAGGTGGTGAGCTTGTCAGCTCTTTGTCCTCAGATAACTTATTAACCACAGAGTCCACCGAGAGAAGAATGATTTCTCACATGGATCGCCGTATGGTTAACCCAGAGTAAACAGCTTTTCAGGAGTCCGTCTGCAGAGAAGCAGAGACAGAGACAAGGATGGAAGGGTAATATTTGGTTTCCAAGGAATGTGAACACAAACCTGCCAGAATGAAAGAAACCACAACTTTTCATTCAAGTCAAACCTTAGTGAAATAAATTGGAAATCAGCCCCATGGTAGCCATGAACACAGAGACAAACATGCTAAGTAGGAGGCTTAAAGCCATATACTGAAGCTTTTATTTTAGATTAGGTCTAAGCTGTTCTGTTACAAACCCTATGGTTAGCTTGTTGCAGAAGCAGAGAAAATGTAGATACAAGCATAACAATTAGAAGTTAAGATAAAAGCAAAACAAATATTGGAAATAATTAAGCAACCAAACTTATGGAAAGGTTCAGGTGTTCAAACAGCTTTGTTTTGGGAAGATTATGATGAGGATGTCCTGTTTGAAAAGCAGAGTGATATTCTTTCCTACATATTAAACAAAAATGTCAGTTTTGTAACAATTTTGGGAATAATTACATTTGGTAAAACGTAATTTTGATTGCCAAAATAATTGATATTGAACAATATTTCATAATGATGAAGAGGTCAGCGGAAGAGGAAGGTAAATTACCAGCTAAGAGCTAATGGCTGTAAGCCTTTGATTCAGTGTACGTACATTAATATTGTCACTATAGCATCAAAAGCTGTTTAAAGCCGATGAAGTGAACAGTGTTAGCTGTATTTCGCTAACCCAGCTTGCAGGGCTGTATGCAGTCAGGACAGTCAGACACCAGAGACAGAACAGCGTCAGCCAGGGTCACCTCACACCCCAGGCACATAGCTTATGTCACGTGTCTGCTGCCTTAACTGTGCACTGTGCAGCTTTGCTAATGTGTAGATCTCACTCGGATTGCTTTACAATCACTTCAGCTGTTTTATTTCGAAGGGAAGAAGTGGTGAAAATTGGCTAAATTGCTTCATCTGCAAGCAGTCAGACTGCCTTGAGGCTGGAAACTTAGAGAAGAATTCAACCCACTGTCTAGAGGTCTACAAGTACATTGACACTAGCTAATGATGCAGTTGTATGCATAATAGTGAGGGGGGAGGAAGCAATGGACATGAAACTACTAGGCTCAAGCAGTGGGTTTGTCAATGTTGCTAAAGATGACCCTGCTCACTATAAAAGAATATTTTGTCCTGCTGTAAGTTTAACATACCTTATTGCTGTCATATCAAAAACAATATTCAGAGTAGAAAGATTATTGACCTACACACAGCATGCTGATTTTAGGAGAACATTTTAATCTTTCAGTAAATTAAATTAACACACAGGCACGTCTACCAGGGCCTACTGCTTCATAGAGACTGCACTTTGGCTGACACAAAAGCTGTAAAATGACAATGAAATGATTGTTGTAGGATGTCTGATTTTGCTGGCATTATTGCATTACTACTAAATTTTTATTAAGTCAAAAAACAAACTATGGCACAGTAATCTAACTTTACTACCTTTATTGTGAGCATTTTGTTATGTATTTATTTTTTAACTTTACTACCTTTATTGTGAGCAACGTGTTTCGCCTATTGCTTCTTCAGGCTCTCACAGTGAGCACTCACACTCACAGGTGTGCTAAGTGGACCCTGTGTAGGTCATGTGACCAGTACATTCCATTTTTTCTGACATTTTTCTCGTGTATATACATCTATACAATCAACATCTTATACAAAACATTATAATACAAACAGCAAGAATGTAATTATTATCCAAACAGATCAAAAACATATATATAAATATGTAAATTAAACATACATAAGTCACAAGAATTACAACATTACAGGAACTCGTAAGTATCTTAAGGCAAATAGCTTAGAAAGACATAATAATAGACATCACTGGAATGAGCTCAAATCTAGTGTCTCATTAAGTCCATGAGGCTCAATCGTGTTCAATTCATGAATCCAAAAAAAAAGTTGGTTAATCAGGTTACCCTCTTGGATTAGGACTCACTCTTTCACTGCCAATAAATTTAAGGCAAGTAGCCAGCCCATGGTTTTTCTCTTTATAATGTCTAGCAATGGCATAATCCATGTTCCCATTTCTAATGGCAGCCTTATCCTCTGCCACTCTCAATTTTGTGATTTCATTTAGTTTGGCCCACATTCATAAAGCCACATGGACATTTCAAATCATACACAACATGGGTAGACAGACATTTAATGAATTATATTATATATATATTATATTTCTTGCCTGAATGTGGGTGATTAAAGGTTTTTGTGTAAAATGTGTTTGAACAATGTGCACATTTGCCACACCTCTAGTTCCCATAAAGCTGTAGTGAAAGTCAATTAGTTTGTGTAGGTTCTCTATACATGGAACTGACAACAAAATCTCTGACATTTCTGTCCCTCCTGAAGCAAAAACGAGATCTAGACAGTGCTAAATGGTTAAAATTTGGGTCACATTCTAAGATACTCCAATGCTTATTTATGATCTGTTTAACTTGTCTAGAGATGGTACAATATTCTGACACAAATGTTGTTCTGTTTTCAACAGATTTAGGGGAAGTCTTCAATAATTCTTTCCTATCTTTTCGATTGGTTTCTTCCACAGCCTGGTCAATAAGTGCTTTATATCTCCGTTCTCTAAACATTTTTTATTGCTTTCATTCTCTGCTTAAACTGTAGAAAAGAGTATGTTAGATTAAACACAGACTGGAATGTCAAACTTCCACTTCCATACTTCTTCAACGTAAAATGGCTGCTTTTAGAGAACTAATTATTTTATATTTAGGTGTAATGAACAAAACTATTGGTGAACTTAGTTTTGATTTGACTGTGTCCTCTTAGAAATGAGGAATACATGCATGTGTTATTCCTTCATGCATTCGTTGTACACACTACAGGACATGCAACCTTAAGTTTCCCCATTGACAGAAGTGAAATATATTATGCAAAGCACATTTTCAGGTATGCTTAACTTGACTACTTCCATTTTATGCTATATTCTACTTACACCACCACATTTCAGAGACAAATATTGTACTTCACTCCACTCCCTAATCTGACAGTTTCAGATGTAAGCTACTTTGTGGATTAAAAACCTCTGTTCATGTCGAAGTTGGGTGAAACTATAGCAGAATTAAGCAAGCTCAACAATGCATGCACTATTAAAAAAGTAAAGGTTTGCCTTAAAATGTAGACTATAACTATCAGGGGAAGTGAGAGAGATTTCCCTGAAGCCCAACATCTGTACTCACACACCAATTAGGAGAGGGCTAATCAGGCAAAGTGAAACCACCTGTGAGCTTACGACATGGATGTGTAGTGGCTTTAAGATTTTACCTAAAAAAAACATTTGATTTACTTACTTTAATTTAAGCACAAGTGGAGCTGCCTGTGTGAAAGACTCAGTTTGGTCTCAATCGCTTGTTGGCGCTGATCGCCATCTTGTGGTTGACAGGAAGTTCTGCAGTCTTGCATCGACAGTGTCGAGGTCGTCCCTCTGAGAATAAGCACGGAGATAACACAGTAACTTAAATTGTGGGCTTCTTGTGTTTCCCGACAAACGCTGCCCTTAAAATAAATGTGTTTTGGATGTCCACAGTCAATTGTAGCGTAATGCAGCCTAGTGTTATAAACGTCGTCACATGAGTCAACTTGTAACCAGGCTTGTTATTCTCCAAGACTGCGCTGTAAATAACAAGGCCTGTGGCAGTAATTAGGCAAAATAAACACACATGGATTAGCTTTAATAAAAGTAGCACGCAGTCTCGGGACAGTAGCACGGAAGAACAGTCTACATTTTCGACTTGGTGGATTTTAACAAGGCCTCCAAACAGCTCGAGCGCTGATACCGCTGTGTTGTCGGTGACATTTGAGGTGAGGACGATGATGTTTTGTTTGTGCGCCTGATCAAATCTCACCGTTGTCGGGAGGAAATAATCCCTCCCCCTGAGTGCCTACAGGCGCTCTCTGCCTGATACTGTGGTGATGATAAACCACTAGGCTACGCTTAAAGTACAGCCATTTAAAATTGTGTGGTAGTAGGCTAAGCCTGGACTGGTTTCGTATTTTTACACCGTTTTTAAAGTAATCAGGCCTGTAAATGCAGTTCTTCAGTTCACCCTTTTAAACTGACTTTAATTCATATAAATATGCATTAACTAACGTCAAACTGATCAAGATCTTATTAAAATGAAGCATTTTGTTAATATTTGCTTTATAATCACCAAGTTAAGGTCATCTATGATCTGTAATCAACTTGCAAATCCCTAGGTAACTATTATTATTTCTCATTTCTAATGTAAGAACAAAGGCATACGATTAAATTTGAACAGCAAATTAAATCAATTAATAAGGAACTTATCCATATAACAAACTCATGCAAGTGCTGGACCATCATGGAGTCAGATAAAGAAGCTCAATGTACATTGTAGTAGGCTAATGTGCAGCAGCAGCAGCAAATTTATTAAACTCAGAGAAGGCTATATATGAGCATCATGTGATGAACATAAACTTTCCTGGTACTGCAGCACATTTCCACTGAACAAGAAAATAACAAGTGCAGAAGCTGTGTCACATCCTGTTAAACTTACTCTCAAACACTATACACACCATAGGAATCTTTGTCTACTGTTTTCTATTTTCTACCCTTTGCATTGGCATAATTAAGACTTTTCACCTCTGTTTTTCACATAAGATGCCACCAACCAAGGATGCTTGGTAACAGGACCATAAAATACTCCCCTCTGTTTAAACATCATGTCACTGAGCTGAATGTGTCTGTTTACTAGTCTTTGTTTAATTGACGCTGAATTGCTGGGGCTGACATGGTAAACAATTAGGGTGAAATTCTATCGCATTAGCCGCTGTGAAACAGCCCAAACAGACTCTGATCTTAACTCCAAGAACTGATAAGAGCCTAATCCTGTTCATGGAAACAGAATCCCACCCAAAACGGCCCGCTGCCCCAGGTGCAGTAGCCACACAGGCCCTGGCTTGTCTCCCTTTATCATAGCTGATGAATTGAGAGGGCCCTCTTGGGCACACAGCCCAGGCTGTGTTTTGGCTAATTAGAGGGTCTGTTTTCTCATAAATAGCTATAGTGATGAAAATTAGGCAAATAAAGGCTGGAGTTGCAGCCTGTGAAAGTGTGAGATGCAAATTCTGAATGTAGATTGACACTGAAGGAAAATCTGGGTTATATATGTCTTTGAATCTACCACTTTTCATATAGTTAATTCGCAGAACCGCACTGTCAGCAAGCAGCAAACTTTTTCATATGAGGTGTTTTTGTTCTAAATTACCAATGGGAGCCCATCCTTGTTAATCAGAACATTCATCTGCAATCAAGGCACATTATGCATCTGTTAAGTGCAGTTTAACAGTTGATAATGAGATCAGGAGTGATAGCTTATCTCGGAATCTTTTAGTGTCGGTGACATTTTGACAGCAGGGATGGTCCCGTAATCACATTGTTCTTACAAAATCTTACTGATAGTTGTAAACAAAGGCTCAAGCCCTACTCAGGTAAGCCGTCTTCCCTAATGGTAGATTTCACATTTAAGCAGAAAATTAGCCCTGGTCTTAGCCTAACATCTGTGCCGTAATTTCAGCTACCCAAGAGTCTCTCCCAGTGCTCACCAGGATGTTCATTTGTTAAATTTCAATTTAAAGTTGAATTGTAATAGCAAAGAAAATCTATGTATCTGGGATTCACTTAAAATTTCAATTATCAAAAAACAAAGCAGGAAAAACATATCAGACACAGTAGAGGAAAAAAATATGGTAAATATAGCAAGACAAGAAGTCAGAACATACAGGAACTCTTAGTTCAAAACAGAGGAACTTTTGATGATAGAAATTCATACCTTACCTTTTATAAAAGTATATGCATGTAGCAAAAAATCTAAGCTCAAACATCTTCTTGATGTTTCGTCCATCTTCTTTTTAGCGCTTTTAACTACATCTTCCTAGCTCCAAAAAGCAACCAAGAGGGCTTATGAGCTTGAAATATTTAGTTATACATTAGACTCAAGAAATCAATTGGACCACTTATCTTCTGGAAAAGAACTGCATGGCATCCGGGCCAAAATCCATTTGTTAACAGCTTGTAAACATTTACAGATCCAGATTTGATGCCTTCTTGTAGTGGAAGAAGCCTTTGTCAATGACATAATTATATTTATACTTGTAGACTGGATGGTTTGAGCCTTAAAGAGTTCAAGTTATACTAAAGGAGGATATACACCATCCAAGAAGCTGTTCTTATTGATCCATAGATGAAGATAGACATGTTTTTAGAAACTTAAAAATACTCTGCTTTGAATAATTATTTGTCTGATATGGTTTCCCTGCAAAAAGTTCAATTACTTCATTAAAAAGTCTTAAAATTCACCTGTTTCTGAAAAAATATAATAATTTCTTTCAAAAGTTTAACTGCCAGATAAGACATCTCATACTCCACTAAAAAAGTCCATTCTCCATTGTGATCTGTTGGCTTCAGGTTTCCACATTGTACTTCTGTAAGTTGCACACTGGACCGTGATTGACTTCCAAACTAGTTGTGATGTTACAAAATCACGCTTGTACTGACACATGTTAATCTCGTAAACATGACTGAAACGAGCGCAGAGAGATTTCCCCCCTTTATCACATGAATGCAAAAACAGCCTTCTAGTGTCAAACACAGTAGAGGACATCATTCTGCACAGTGACACTCAAATTTCCAAGCAAAGTAACAATAGCGTTTTTAACTGGAGGTGGACTTTAACTTTTAATAAAGCCATTAGTTACAACTTAGCAGAACCACTTTTCTTTTTTGTCAAATGAAGTGAACATGATTTGTTTTTTGTTTTCTTGTCTGCATTTCCGTCATTAAGGTTAAGGTGTCACATGAGTCTCAGGGAATGCAGCTCCAGTCTTCCACCCCGATCTTTGTGGCTCTCCTGCAGCGTCTGGAAAGATTTCATGGGAAAGATTCAGATCCACTGTCGCTCCATGACATCACACCAGAGATGTATCAGCTGCCTGACGCACACCTGGCTTGACACCCATATCAGCTGAGGGCTTGAATTGTTGGAACCAGCAGCAGCTGCAAGAGGTACAAGTGATACTAATGGACTTTGAGCTCTTTATCACATATTTGATGAAATATCATGATATATAATGAATAAAAACAAGGTCTAAAACAAAAATAAATATCACCTAGATGTTACGTTACAGATTTCAGCTTTATGTACCAAGTCAAACAATAGGAAACTGTGTAACTTACTATTACTGTGTATCCAGTTAAGCAGTTTGCTAGTGGAGAGGCTATTTAAAGTTCTGAAACATTATTCCTCCATTGGAGGTGGCTGCTTTAGGAACATTGCGTGTATTACGTGATCAGAAGCACCGCTCTATATTTATCAAATCATGGGGCTTGCCGCGCTGCATGCTTGTGCAAAAGAACGCCTACCAAAGGACGTACATCATGGTGCTGCTGAGACTCCATACTTCCTAGACCTTCCCCTTCTGTAGACCAGGATCACAGCTGAAGCGGGTCAGGTAGGAAACCTGCATGGATGTACAAGTACTTCTGCAGACAGCTAGAAAACAGAGAAATAATACTTCTGTTGTCATACTGATATTTGCTGCCCTGAAGACATTTTGATTACATTATCTTATATAATATTACATTACATCACATTGCTAGAAATATATTATAACAAGTTATTACATTTTATTTTATTATTTAAATATTTTTAATTGTGTTGCAAAATTGTGTACAATTAAAATCAACATGCTTGTGGTTTTTTAATTGCATAAATTAATATGTATGTTGCAACTTAGGGTTTGGTCTTCATGCTTGCGAAATCTTTAACGTTAATTTTGAAAATCTTTAATTTTATGATTACCTGAAAGAAATACAAATACTTCTACCAGTTATTACTTTTGATATATAGCTCTTTTGATTGATTTTGCAGGTTATATCGAACACTCTAAGTCAAAATGAATGACTTTGAATACAGTGTGGAGATCTGTGACCGTGACTGGGAATGCTTCTTTGCGGCGTGCGAGGAGTGTAACCTGCTTCCTCCTTCATTAGCAGGTGTGGATGACTCGGGGATGAGTGACATTGATGATACAGGGTCCATTCTTGCAAAGAGCATTCAGAAAGTTGACCTAACAGCAGGCTTTTCAGAGGCTGACCACCCCATAGACGCCCCCCCAGACTGTGAGGGCTCTCCTGTGGAGCATTACCTCAGCACACACACTGTCGGTGGAATGGAGAGCGTCCTCTCGGGCAGTGAGGAGGATATTCACCTGCAGTCTGTCAATATATTCTTTGAAAGGTTGAAAAATGTTACAGAGGCTGAGGGGCTTACTGAGCCAAGCCAAGTGAGAGTTGGGAAAAACAGAGAGGCAATAAAGGAGGAGGAGCGGTGTAGTGATGGGCAGCGAGCCAGCAGCAGTACTTTGCCAAAAAACATCCCCAAGTTAAACACTCTGCCTGCCAGGGGTGAAACAGCACTTGGCAAAGAGACCACAGAGACTGTCCACACCATCAGCAACAATAACACAATGAAAAAAGACGAGGCTGGTTCCAACATTTCCCCTGAACCTGCAGCCAGTAAATTGTTCAAGACTAACAAATCAGCTCACCCTGAAACAAAGTTATCTCTCAGAGAGGAAATCTGTACAGAAACCAGAGTAAATGAGGCAAAACAGCGGAATGGGTCCCATGACTCACCGGACGGGGTTGTCTGCTCACAAACAACACCTCACACTGACAAAGTGATGAAGGTGAATATGTGCACGCCTCTGGATGATGTTAATCAAGAACATTTGGTGACTAGTCAGTCAACTCACAGTACAAGGTGTAGCACTGACTCATGGAGTACTCTAGAAATTATGTCAAATGTTAAATGGAAGGAAGACCGAACCCCTAACAGTGTATATTCAGACGCAACAAACTCAAACAAAACAGCGAGCCAAGAATTGTCTCCGTCTGCCTCTATCAAAAGGAAGAGAAAGAAGAAGAGACGACTCAGTGCTGAGCCAGCTGAGAGTGTGCATGGATATGACAGGCCGGTTTTAGTCAAGCAGAGTGACTCAGAGGAAGAGCAGTATGCATGGAGAGCAGGTTCTGGTCTGTGTATATCAGAGGATTTATTTTATTTAAATGAACCACAGAAAAATGTCATGTCCTCTTTAACTGCATATTCAGCCACCACCAATCTCCCAGTGAAGATATCTGCTAGGGAGATAAAAGTAAATGATCTTTCTCACTACAGTCGTCCATCTGACAGTCATTACCAATGTTTCCCAGAGAGCATGGTCAGACAGAGAAGGTGTAAAGAAACAGGCTTGGTTGAAAATAATGCAACTATCGTCAGCTCAGTAACCCCACTGAGTCAAACGGATGACAGTGTAATGTCAGCACAAAATGGCAGTGGTAATGTGACAACAAATGTGCACCCTTGCAGCAAATTACAGGCAGGGGAACCAACTGGACTGAATAAGTATCCTATGTTGCCAGTTTCAATGAGTGACAGTGTAATTGGTAAATCAGACCTGGCCACAAAAACAGCAAACTGTGGAAGGAAAGACGCATACAATCTGAGGCAGTCTGATGAAATGAATAATTCTGTCACTTGTTGTGGAAATGAACAAAATCAAGGTTCTTGTTCGGCAGAGGTCAAATCAATAACTCACAGTATTTTACCAAGTGCTGAGTCAAATGATCCCACTGAGAAAGTCAGCCAAAATGACAAACTATCCACTGCTAAGTCAGTCCTGGCTGTGGAGGCTGGAATTTCTGGCAGAGACAACTACGCACTGTGTCAAAGAGAAGCTGAGCACCAGCAACAGCTGGAAATTGACTGTCACAACACAAACCAATATAGCTCTACAGTGAAAAAGACTCATATTGCTCTTTCTGAAAGTGATATGAGCGGTTCTATTGCTCACAACACAAAACCCAAGCAATTCAAAACTAGAGAGTGTCCATTCTCAGAGGAAATTTCCAGTCAGTTGGACTGTATTAAATTAATATCAGATACAAGAAATTCATTGTCTGATAATAATTGTCTGCCTAAAAGTCCCTCCAGTTCAGATATAAAGATTGCAGTGCAGCAGACAGAACATCCTCTGGTGCGTCACACATTATCCAGATTTGATGTTTTGTCAGAGAAAAACACAACAGCTGAGAGAGCTGGATTAGCATCATCACAAATAATGTCTAATCATAGTGGGAATCTCTTTCTATCTGGTGATAAGAGTCTAACAGGTAAAAGTCAGAGAGAAACCAAATCGTCCATGTCTGGCAACTTACTAACAAGTCCTTCAGATATTACATCAGTATCATCCTGCTGTACTCTGGACACAGAATCTGTCGTGTCACTCTCAAATGAAAATATCACACACATGTCAGAAAGCTCTGGTTTATCTGTCAGCCAAAATGACTCTGGAGGTCAAGGAGAAAAAACATCCCTACTACTGGCAAGACATGAGGAAGGAGACGGCACATCTGGACCCAAAAGCCAGTCTGTATTAAATGAAACAATAGATTCAAATAATGATTTAGTGGTCGGAGCAGAAGATGCCATCACAGCATCTATAGCACAATGTGAATCTGAAAAGGCACCGAATTCAAAACATTCAGTGTTCGCTATGTCTTCTTTTTGGAGTGAGATGGAGAAGCTCACGATAAATGATATTCTGGGTTTACGAATGATCAGCAAAGCTGCTCCACCAAGCTCCCTCCCACCTTTACAGGAAAGTGAGGAGACCAGAGATTCAGGCTTTTTTACTCAATTGGATGAGCAATCCACCAAGGAAACATCCACCAACTCTGTAGATTCAAGTTCAGGTTCTGTTATGGCAGTCAATTCGTCCTCCTCTAGAGGAATGTGGGAGAGTGAACCAGTCACGTTGAGTCGAGGTGCTGATGTTTACCCTGAGAGTATGATGTTGACATCGGTTAGTGACATTTCTCAACCAGTCTTCCCTGGAAGTGCTCAAACGTGCCTCAGAAAGATTTCTAAAAACGTAAGTGTGCACAATCTACATGCCTTGGAATCTCAGTCTTTCAGCAACACATGGAAAGGCCAATCTTTGCAAACCT